GGTTCTGATAAAGCTGACTACATGTATTTGTACACACCAGCTAAAGTCGTTATTAAAATATGTTTTGTGATTAAAGCATAAGAAAAAGTTCTAGTCAATCACCAACACATCAGTGGAGGATAAAAGGTAGAGTGATATTTGACTGTAAATACTATATATGGAAACATTCACCATGCATTATTGTTGCCCTCAAATCAATATCTGTCTTTAACTAGTGTGAAGCATATTAGCACTGATGTAATATAATACTAAATACTCTTAGGTAGAATATAATGTAACATGATGGTAAAAATAAACAAAAAAAATATGTACTACATGGCATCAATATACAGTTAATCAATTTGGTCACACCTCTTTTTTTTTAACAATTGATAATAGATGCATGAGAGTACTGGTATGTGACACACTCAACCCCTCACTCCGCCCTGTACATGTTTAGTACTGGCATGCTCGGGATATCCATGAAAGGTCAGGTAGTCATATACATCCCTTAAATCAAAGGCCTGTCAGAACCAATTAGAGCATTTACCTGGTCATTATAGTGTGACAGCAGTGAAACAAAACAACACTCTCTGAAATATTCTAGTTCACTCTATGGATAAAACACCCAAAGAATGTCGCAGAATGCAAGAACAGTGCAGGAACATTGTATATAGGAGAAACAGGCAAGTGATCTGGGGTCATCCTTAATGATCAGAAAGCTATGGAATCTGTAATCCCATACATCACAGATCAGTCAACACAGCAAAATCACATCAATTTACACACGTTCTGTTGCAATCATAATAGATTTAATCACTTACCTGTGTAAATCTACATATTGTATCAGGTAAACAAAATTACCAACAAACAAAAACTGAAAACAATGTTCGACCAATCTCTCTGATTTATCAAAAATTGTGGTAGCCAAATAAATCCATCATGTGTCTCAACTTGTGAAAAGTTCAGAACCAGATCTGTCAGGTTATAATGTCAAGTATTAAAATGAAGTGATCTAATAGCAAGATTAAGTGTCAGGAAATTATGTAACACTTTCAAATTCATTCAAAGGACCAGAAGGGATTGTGTGACATCACATGTAGGCAAGTCAGAATTAGCACACCCCTCCAGCAATTCTATCTAAACATTATGATGATCACATGACCAAAGACAGTAGCTCTAATTTTCTTAACATTTCAATCCTGTCAGTACTTTTTAATCTACGGTACTAATAAAGAGTCAGTAATTTTTATAAGATTTTTTTCTTGTGAGTCTTGAGCACTACTTTTTCACTAGTCCAGATTAAAAAAGATGCAGTGAGCTCTCAAAATTTAATCAAGTCCAACAGGAAAAGAAAAATCATTTAACACTTTAAAATTTTGGGGAAAACAAATAATGACAAAACTTCTCAAAAGAATCTTGAAGGAAAGTCAAGTGAAAGTCCTATCTGTGATTGTATATCAGACATGTGGTATCCAAACATAGCAGTTTGAAGTAACAGACTTAGAATTATGTGAATGACAGGCCTGTCCACCAATGTCCACCCTGAGTTGGGACTGACAGCTCTATAAAAATTGATGATACATAGCGCCTCTTAAGGTCTCCTATCCAAGTTGTTGATAAAATGTATCCTTATCTACAGGGTTACATATACCAACAGATACATCTAATCAAAGTTGGTTCTGGCTTTTTTGTACAAAGGTCTTCCTTCCTTTATTTCATTACAACCACTTTGCACCCTTGGGGGTCTAATTATCTGTTAATACAGCAGCGATTCCCTTCATCCAATCATTTTCCATTTTAATTTCAGTTAATTCATTCATCTGTAAAAATGCATTTACTGGATTTGGAAAGTTTTCAAACATTTTCCTCTTTCACTCAAGGTCTGCACTTGTTTACCCTTCATATTGAAGGACACAGACACATATATTAAAGTTGATGCAAATGGGGATTGAATGGCAATTGTGTTGTTATTTACCACAGTATATACAGTCAATGGGACACAGATCTAGACATAGACACATTCTAATTGTGGCACATTACCAGTTTCCTGCAGACCCCAAACCCTTATAACTCTTCTATATTCCTCAATTTCTACATAGCTGTAGCCAAGGTTGCAGTCTGTTATATAAATAAATAAATCCATCAAACTTTTTCAGAAGTTGGTCAATGTAGGGAAATCTCCTTGTCTCAACTAACATTGAAAATCTTCTGTAATAAAATGTTTATAGTTAAGAACAAATTTTGTCCCTATATCATTTTTCTGAGTATAAATACATGTATGTATGCAAAACTTAGATATGTTATACATATGATACTAGGCAATTAAAACGTCATAACCATGAAGGTCAAAACCAAGCAGTTTGCTATAGTATGCAGATGTATTGAGTACTGAAAACTGATGGTACACAAACCTAAATGCTATTTGAAGAAGTGGAAGTTTCCTAGTCATACAAAGGATCATATTTATGAGTGTTATTTTGATCAGCTGATAAACCAAGGACAACAATGAGTGACTAAACTTTAACTTCCTTATCCATGGACTTTTATATAGTGTACATATGTCTAACATCTTATATTACGACCTCATTTCAAGATGTCATGAGCAAATATATACCTACATGTACACAAGCTTTGTATCAAGCATTAGCAACAGTTGTCATGGTTTCCTGATATTTGCATTCGATCAGTACAGTTTATAGGTTCACTGATATTTGAAACTCAAATTTTTGGCTCCTGCTTTCCCTTTAGGACTCATCTATTTTTTTGAAAACCAACTCATCTCAGTAAAGGAACTCATCACAATTTTGGAAATGGAACAAAAATTATTGTTTGTTTGAATTTCAACATCATTTATTGTGTAATAAAGTCAACTGCATCAGGATTCAAACATAACATGTTTTATTTGTGTATAAGGCAGAAAACAATGGATAACTGTTAAGGTAGACTTAACATGCACCTTTAATCAATTATCCATCATTACACCTGATTTTGACAGCCAGCTGTCTAACTATTCAATTACCTGGTAATATCTTAAATGAAAATGCAGAAGCACCTGTGTAGCAGTGCTGAGATGGGTTAACATAGTTTTGCTTTCAGAGTAAATGAAAACTCATCCCACTTTCTACTTGTTCATTTATATCTTCTAAAATAATTCTGAACTGATTTTTCTGATGTAATCGTGATGAAGATGTTTTGCCTTTTTCTTGGTATTGGCTTGTTAAAGGGATATTCCATCCAAGTAAGGATTTCTTAAAAAGGCTTTTTGTGAAATTTGTACAAAAGCATCTACTTAAAATTGCACAACGCGGTTTCCAACAAAAATCAACTTTCGCTGTTTTATTGAGGAAATTTCTTATAGGTCTAACTAGATCTGCTTACAAATGTTCATGCTGCCCTGATGACGTCACAACAGGTTTGCACCTGTGTAATAATACCTGCATGCCTGTGATATTTGCATATAACATGCAGAAAACCACAGCCAAAAAAAAAAAATTTGGTCACATTGCTTCCTTGTTAGAAAGAAGTTGGATTCTGTTAAATTGGCCAATCACAAGGAAATACATGTGTTGCAATATAAAATTAAACCAGTAAAAGTAACCAGAGCGAAAACATGAACAGAGTTCCATATAATCCTACTGATATAAAGTCTACTATGCAATGAGCTTCAAATTCAGATTTCCCATTTTGGTCCCCAGTTTAGTACTGTAATCGAAAATAATCCTTATTGTAGCCACACTTCTTACAGGAATATCAATATCTATTAGTGTCATTTCAACATAGTTTGTGTTGTCATTGACAATAGGATGGGGACACTGTCTTTCATTGACATACATATTGTTATCATCACTGCTTACATCAAACATTGTGTTTTTGTTTATGCATTAAAAATGATCATGTGGTAAAAAGTGCTATATTTACACATTCCAATTTTATACTGGTCACAGGTTGTTTCCACCAATTTCGCCTGTCCAACATGACCGCAAGAAGGATATTCCAATGCTTACAATAATTTGAATAGTCAAAAGAGATACTTAAAAAACCAATGGAGCCACAAAATATAACTTGGGCAGAATATCCTTTTAACAAGTACTATTTGTAATTTGAATAATAATGTATTTTGAGCCTACTCTACTGCCAAAAATACTTTTATAATTTCTTCAGTCTAGGACCTTTAATAATTATCAAAGAAAACACTGAAGGACACTGACCTGACAAAGTCAGTGACATCACTCCTATAACAGCACTGTCTGATTACCAGATCTTTTGCGTTTAAAAAGACATTACAACAAACACTGATATGTGATATTACCACCAAAAGATAACCACCTTAACTTACAAAATAACTACCATAAGTGTGCCATTGTCCTGTGTACCCCTTAATTATACTTTATAATTGAACACTGGACAGAAAATGGTCCTTTGTTGGCAAACATGAAATCCTGTAAAATGATGGGTGCCCAAAATTTTAAAACACTCCCAAATGAACCTATTTTTACTTCAACAATATGTGCATATTACATCACTGTTGAACTATCAATAACAGATATGAATGCATATACAGCAGTGACTGGTTTATAAAGTAGTGTTTGGGGACATGGCTTTACATTTCTTAAATTCAACCTTCCCAACAAGCAACATATTAGGTGACCTCACTCTCAACTTCTCACTTTCCATCCAAAATGCATGTTTTTAAAAACATACAAATGTAATAATACCTTACGTTTGGAAAGGTCAACGGCACTTAAGTCTGTAACACAGTAATGGACTGTTATGACAATGAAGTGATGTAACACTTTTAAATTCACCTACATGAGCGAAGATTAGCAATATGACAAAATCCTTAGCTCCAACTCAACAAAGATTCTTTGGACGAACTTTTCAACTTTCTTCCTTCAGCTGGAGACAGAGTGTGACATATACCTGGTGGATTCTGGTGTTGATGTATCAGAGAGCTGACATTGCCGAAAACACAAATATGCATACCTAACTCGGTACAAGATATATACACCACAACCTACCTGGAGTAGCCCAAAGCCAATTATTGGTCACCTTGTGACTCGTGAAAACTGCTAAACCTGGTGAACATCAATCACATCGCCGGGGTACTGAACAACTTCTTCCAGAGGTCTAAACTTTACCTGCTTGCAGTTATATTCCAGCTGTTTGCACAATTCATAAATATTCCATCAATAAAGAAAGTCAATCGTGGCTTGTCTTTAGGTATGCACCCCACAGGACATACGTGAAATGTTTCTAAATATTGCTGATATCACTAGGAATTCCACACCTTCCTTTCTTTTTGTTTATGTTTTTCCTTTGAACCGAAGTACTCACCTTCGACTAGTCCGCGTCAAAATAGAAAGCAAGTATTATTTAGAGTTAATATCACATTTCAAGAACAAAGTATCCACATACCATTGTAGAAATTTTAATTTTATCTTTAATATGCACTGATTCGAAGTTTTACGAATATTCATAATAAAATTCAAGAAAGAATTAATGCGTTATTATCGCGTATGAATATATATGACAAGTGCGCTCATCAGACGGAAGGGAACTAACTCTATTAGTTTTATTAGTTTTCAATACACAAGCAGACACACAATAAGAACTAACGAATTTCGAGGAATTTCTTGAGCTGTAAAGCATTTATGCTTAACAAAAAATGAATTTTGAGTATGACATATTTATGTGGGGTTTTTTTTCAGAAACAGAATCAACTTGTTTTTGTAGGTGGAAAAAAATTAAGGTGTAGCAGTAACAATCGCGCAATACACAGAGTTTAGGCCCTTCTCGGAGCAGCTTGCTGCTCACAGTACACAACTTGTACATTTATTATTTTTCTTCTTCTCTTTTTGGTAACCCTCTTTAGGCGGCGGGAGTTGTATCATCAATTTATCAAAAGCAAAGAGATTAACAAAAGGGAGAAATTTGTATCCAATTTATTCTTTGTCACCTTTTCCCCATTTTACCTTCATATAGACATGGGACATTTAATGCAGGGAAAAATAAAGTCTGGTTGAAGAAAATGCATTTGTATTTGTTCAGCGAGCCTTTCAGTCATCAAATCCCTCTGTCAGAGTTATCTAATCTATACATATTCTTACTGTGCCCGTGCCAGTGAGAAGTGAGAGATTATTTCCATAAAAAATGATATAAATAAATGAAAATTATTATAAGGAATATGTCAAATGGAAAATTAAACATGCATTTTGTTTTAAACATGTTCAAATAGAGAGTTCAATAGAAATGATTCAGCACAAAAGTAAGCATGTTCATTTTAAAAATTATTCAGCTTTCTTGTACTATTAATTTTGAAAAACTGGTAACAGAGCTTTTGGAGAAAAAAAGTCATTAAAGACAGCCAATGGGCTTAAACTTATTTAACTTTAGTATACAGATATAGATTGTCTACTATCACCCAATTATATGTCTCTGGATATAGATTTAAAAATAACGATAAATTGTCTTGATTTAACACAGCTAAAATCAAATGTCTCCCCTTCTCGGGAATGAAGTAGTTGTTGGGTGAGTGTGTGTGCAATTGTGTAGTTGTGCAAAATATTGATCAAAGTTAAAAAAAACAGTCATGCATATATACTGAAATTCTTGAAGGTGTTGATGAGGAAATTGATTGATTAATTACCAATAATTTCATAAACAACTCTGTTAAAAAAGTGCCAAGGCTCCTCATATTTGTATGTGACTCACCGTCTTTAAGTCATGAACATGTATGCCAAATTTCATCATCCTATCTTAATAACAAAGAAAGAAAAAGCTCCGGACAAGTTTTTTTTAACAAAGGGCTATAACTCTGTTATGAAAGGGCCCTGGCCCCTAATATTTATATGTTACACACCGTCATTAAGTGATGAACATGTATGCCAAATATCATCTTCCTATCTTAATTATGAAAAGAGTTATGCTCTGGACATGAAATTATTGGAACAAGAAGAAACTCATACAAAAACAATATGTCTCCCTTCTGGAGACGTTGAGACATAAATATTGGGAAAAAAAACCAGGAAAATCTTATTTGATCCATTTCATTTGTAATCAACATCTGTAACTTCACTTTGGGGAAAATGATGCACTGGCAGACCCTGGAGACAACTATATGTATAATGAAGTACAATGGTTGGTGGGTTTACATTGGGATACAAATGTATTGGTGTACAATCGTTGGTGGGTTTACATTGGGATACAAATGTATTGGTGTACAATGGTTGGTGGGTTTACATTGGGATACAAATGTATTGTGTACAATGGTTGATGGGTTTACATTGGGAGACAACTGTATTGGTGTACAATAGTTGGTGGGTTTACATTGGGAGACACATGTATTGGTGTACAATGGTTGGTGGGGTTACATTGGTAGAAACATGTATTGGTGTACAATGGTTGGTGGGTTTACATTGGTAGACACATGTATTGGTGTACAATGGTTGATGGGGTTAAATTGGTAGACACATGTATTGGTGTACAATGGTTGATGGGTTTACATTGGGAGACAACTGTATTGGTGTACAATAGTTGTTGGGTTTACATTGGGAGACAACTGTATTGGTGTACAATGGTTGATGGGGTTAGATTGGGAGACACATGTATTGTTGTACAAAAGTTGATGGGGTTACATTGGGAGACAACTGTATTGGTGTACAATGGTTGGTGGGTTTACATTGGGAGACAACTGTATTGGTGTACAATGGTTGGTGGGTTTACATTGGGAGACACATGTATTGGTGTACAATGGTTGATGGGATTACATTGGGAGACACATGTACTAGTGTACAATGGTTGGTGGGTTTACATTGGGAGACACATGTACTAGTGTACAATGGTTGGTGGGTTTACATTGGGAGACACCTGTATTGGTGTACAATGGTTGATGGGATTACATTGGGAGACACATGTATTGGTGTACAATGGTTGGTGGGTTTACATTGGGAGACACCTGTATTGGTGTTCAATGGTTAATTGGGTTACATTGAGACATTTGCATCTATATACAATGGTTGATTGGTTTTTATTGGGAGACACCTGTATTGATTTTCAGTGATGGATGGGTTTAAAATGAGACACACTTGCATCTATATACAACAGTTGATGGATTTTTATTGGGAGACACCTGTATTGGTGTATAATGGTTAGTGGGCTTATATTGGGAAGCACCTATATTTGCGTACAATTTGTGATGGGGTTACATTATGAGACACCTATATGGATGTACAATGGTTGGTGGGGTTATATTAGTAGACATCTGTATCTGTACAATGGTTGGTGGGGTTATATTAGGAGACACATGTTGGTTACTTGTAGACCACCTGTATTGATGTACAACAGTTCATGGGTTTAAATCGACAAATACCTGTATTGGGAGACACCTATATTTATGTTAAATGGTTGGTGAAGATAAATCAGGAGACTCATGTATTGGTGTACAATGATTGGAGGTATAATATTGGAATATACTTTTATAGATGTACAATATTTGATTTAGTATCATTAGGAGACACCTGTATATATTACACAAACGTTGGATGGGTTATACTAGGAGACGCCTATATTGGTGTACAATGATTGATTTGGTATCATTAGGAGACACCTGTATATATTACACAAACGTTGGACGGGTTATACTGGGAGATGCCTATATTGGCGTACAATGATTGATTTGGTATCATTAGGAGACACCTGTATATATTACACAAACGTTGGATGGGTTATACTGGGAGATGCCTATATTGGCGTACAATGATTGATTTGGTATCATTAGGAGACACCTGTATATATTACACAAACGTTGGATGGGTTATACTGGGAGACGCCTATATTGGCGTACAATGTTTGATTTGGTTTCATTAGGAGACACCTGTATATATTACACAAACGTTGGATGGGTTATATTGGGAGACGCCTATATTGGCGTACAATGATTGATTCGGTTTCATTAGGAGACACCTGTATATATTACACAAACGTTGGATGGGTTATACTGGGAGACGCCTATATTGGTGTACAATGATTGATTTGGCATCATTAGGAGACACCTGTATATATTACAAAAATGTTGGATGGGTTATACTGGGAGACGCCTATATTGGCGTACAATGATTGATTTGGTTTCATTAGGAGACACCTGTATTGATGTACAATGATTAGCAGGCTTTCATAAAGATACAGTTGTATTGATTTTTAATGGGTGGTGGAGTTATGTTGGAACATGCCAATTCTCATACCATCTTAAAATAAATTCTGCAGCAGCCTTCAAATCTCATATAAGTGATACTGTATCATCATCTAGAACAAGCTTAAAGTTAGTGTTGTATGCAACACTTGTCTGCCACCATTAATCTTCTAATTTTCTAAGCAACATTGACCTTGATAGTATTGAACAGATGATTTATTTTAACAACTTAAAAGTCTTCTCTCCAAACATTAAGGTCTTGACAGGCAGGATGCATAAACCAGAACATAATGTAGAAAAAATTATTATATGGACTCCCTTGTACTTCATTCTATATGAAGTTTTAACCAAGTTTATCTTCCCTAATTCATTTAAGTGGTTATCTGGAAAACAAAATGATGACATGTCAATGAGGACCCAGCTTAACCTTTAAGGGTAAATTCAACCATTCAAGTCACATTCAGTATACAGATGGAAAGATATCAAATTTGACCTTGACCTTTTGACACAGTGACCTTGAACATTGGTCACTTGACAACTGGTGTTATTCTGACAAACTTTGCTTCTCGGATCTTTGATACGGGGCCCTAAAAATGGTAATGAATGCCTTCGTATTAAGTCAACTTCAAAGCCTCCACAGTTGACCTTTCGACCCCTTACTCAATTCCATCCTATCTATTTTCTAATAATATTAGATTGCATCAAGTTTCAATAAAATCTGTCACCCCGATCACAACTTATCATCTGGAAGCCAAAAATATGACAATAAAAGTCCATTTTTCATAGCAGTGACCTTTTTTGTTGACCTTTTGACCTCAAACTCAATCCACTCTGTATTACCACACAACCTAACACAAAATGAAGTTTCATTCAAATCTATCCATCCTTCCTCAAGTTATCGTCTTGAAACCAACATCCGGACAGATGGAAAGACAGACAGACACATTAGTCCCCTCTGGACTAATTACGTGTATCTACAGATGATAATTTACAGCCATATATGAAATAAAGAATCATATTTGTACATTAGTATACAAAATGGATGTGTAAGATGTCATAACCACTATTACTACATTTACTGCAGTTTCCCTCAAGTTCTGGTTTGTTTTCATTTGATAATTTCCATCACCTCGATGTGGTGCACTTGTAAGTGATCATCAGAAAATAGTTTACATTTCAGGAACTTTCATGCAAACTTGATGCTACAAACAAATTAAACAAGGCTCAGATAACAAATATATGCTTGAAAAAAAAGTACCATCGATTTTTGTATTTATATCATTTGTAATGAAGTGAATATACAAAAACTTTTGAATATCTTGATCTGCAGAGTAACTAATATATCAATTTCATCACCATAAACATTACAGTATTGAGAAACTAGACACTACCACAAAGTATTTACACAATCATTTATTGGAGATAACTACAAAAGAACACGGGTGAGAAAAGGTCATCACGTCGACCGCCGTCGTAACATATATCGCCCTTTCTGTAGCTGTGACACATAGATTCGGATCTTGAAGTTGTCTTCAATCTTTCGTACATAAATCTGTGTGGAGAAATCAAAACACAATTATATTATATTATTACAAAATCCAAAATTTTAAAGAAATTTCAGAAATATAATGTTTTGATATATGGGAAAAAAATATTTGTTATGCATGTATATATTGACTATGTATATGAAATATTTGAAATTAACTGACCTGCTACCACTTATCTCAGAATTATACGGATTATAAAGCAGTCTAATAGTTTCGTGATATTACTTGGCATTCAAGCCACAAATTTTACATTGGAATTCCAAGCAAGTATTCTGGAATGCCTTGAAAACAATTTTTGAAGCATGAAGATGTGACTACCTCTTGGGTACCGATGGCTGTGATCACACCATTAAAGTTAGGACTGTCACGGCATTCCACAAACACAGGTTGGTTTCTGTGGAACCTACAAGAAACACGATATACAGATGTTTGTCAAATGATCAAATTCTTTTCCTTCTGATATATCTTTTCTGTCATAATAAATAACATATCATCATGATATCTCCTCACAAGTAAGTTTTGTAGACTTATCAAATGATAAATTTGGTGAAATATTGCTTTAATACAACGAAATGAAATGTTTCATGATCTTCTTGATATCATCAAAATGACAAGTCATTGTTGACAACTAAAGACATGCATCTTGGAAATGATCCTCTGCTAACCTACTACAAAAAGACATACTTGAAGGTAACTTTTAACTAATAAAATGAGAGCTTAAAGAGTCATTTTGTGAGCTCACCAGCGCTTGTCATAGTAGAGGCGTCCATCATCAATCCTGGCCTCCATTGCGCCCTCCAGAGGACTCTGCACCAAGCTGGACTTCTTGCTGATGGGCTTCCCACTGACCTTGTTAATGATACGCAGATCTTCCATAATATCATCTTCGCTGAGGAAGAAGTTCAGCTGAGGTGAGAAAGTCAAGGATAAATTCCTGGTCAGTAAAACATGGTAAAGGTGAGACCTTAGAAATAAGAGGGATACCTCAAAACATATACAACTCAATAATACTAAAACTAACACAACAACAGTATATAATGTTTATAAACCTTTAAATTCATAAAATACGAAAGATCGAAAGCTACCAGATAGTGATTTTTAAAAGTTTTGATAGCTGTAGTAAAATTTTGTCATCGCCAGGACATATCTACAAAGTTATGTGTACACTTTAATTCTCCAGAAGTGTGGTCATATTGAAGAGGTTTCATTCTCATATGTATATATTACCAAATATGATTTACTATATAGACAATAATGCTGATTAAGTGCAGAACAAAGATCATAAATGTTTAATTTTCAAGTGTCCCAATTCAATGTTTTTTTCATGTTCTTTGACATTGCTTCAAAATATCTTACAAAAACATTTATAAGAATGGGTATACTGTATAGCAGTTTGTTTTAAGTTGCCTAATACAGATTTTATCAGTTATCTAAAAGGAGTTTGAGAAAAAAAAACCTTGTTTATAACATTATTATTTGATTACTTATCACCATGTGAAAAGCTAGGTTATTTTGAGGAAGAATTTCTTTTTAGAAGCTTTTGTCTTTCTCAATGAACATTTGGAGGCCAGTCACATGCTAGTTGTTCAAGGAAACGACTATGAAAGCAATGGATGATCACTGAACTAAGTTTCCTGAGATTCTGAAACTTCTCTAAGGTAGATGTGAAACCATACACATCAGCACTTCATCTAGGGTCACATCAGTCTCATCTTCTTCCCAGTGACCTACTGCGCCCCATTGATATCCAAGTGTAGAGCATATATTATTTCAGTTACAGGATTACAGTGTATTTAATTGGAACAACAGTATTAAACTGAATAATACTACAAAACAATACTAGAAGGATATCAGGTGAAGGCTTTCGCCGTTTCTCTGGCAGAGGGATGGGGTCATTTGGTCGTCTCCGTAGTTTTCTTGTAGTAATCGGTTTCACTTCCATGGAGTCTGACAAAAGGAATCCTAAAAGGGACAAGATTGAGATTTGTAGCCATTGTCATCCAATGTCATCCAAATTCTCCAACATACAATACATGTGACTTTATTTCACACAGTTTACAATTAAATTCTAGTTACTGTTGAGGATTTGAACCATTTTCTTCACATTAGAAATTAAACACTATAAATAGGTTAAATTTATCTATAATTCTGCTATACATTAAACCACGTTATAAAGTGATGAACCCTTCCATTCCACAACCCCACCTTCGCCCACTAAACTTTTATCCCCTAAATTATCACATTATTACTTGCCTTACCATGCCCCACTCCCTCAAATATCACCAGTCTAATCTATCGACCGTTCCAACTCCTATACCTACCCTTAAAGCATAATATGTCTTATCTACAACCCTCCTAACTCCTACCCTAAATCACCACCTGTATATTCACCTAAACCCAACTTACCCCTTTCAAGTTATTTATAAAGTGTTAAACCCATCCTACCCCTTAAATATGGCATGTCTACTCACCCCCCCCCCCCTTCCAATTTACCCCTACATCACTCCACCCCCTAAAACAATAGCGGTCTTCTCACCTCCCATCAAGTCAATAGAACTCCTCTCATTCTCAATATTTCTTTTCTTCTCCTCATAATCAGCAATTAGGTGTTCCTTCAGATCAATCTTCTTCTCCTACAAACAATTACAACTTAGTTACTCAAAATGGTAATTGGTTTTGTACATTTATATCTTTTAGATTGAATACCAACTACCATACATATCTGTCTTCCTCGACAAATTATCCTGTCAATTCCTATTTGATGCAAGGTTTGTGCAGTACATTCACATTGGATTTACACATCTTAATCTGAACAAGCACTCCAACTCCCCTTTGTAAAATTGCTTTTTGGCTTTTTGGAATACATCAATAATATAATAGCAAATACTTTTGAATAAAAGTATGTTTGTTTAGTATTATGTAATACTTATAACCAGATACTGTCTTGAAACCCGTGAGTTACAAATTCAACATCACTATTTCCTCTATATGAATAAGCACCATGAAATTACATTACTCACTTCAAAATCCTTTGCTGCAATTTTCTTTTCTATGATGTAGTCCTTATCAACAACCTCCAACTGGAAAAGATATTTTGGCATTATATTTTAGTACTGATTGAATCATTTCTCTGTGGAAACTACACAGCATGATTATTAAAACAATTCTGGAATACAAATGCAATGATGATTTTTGAAATACTTAACATTTTTAATCTTGAGAGTCAAAGGTCAAAAACACCTTGTTATGACCTTAATTAAAACACCATGCAGCTACAACCTAAAGGCTTAAGATATTTAACTACATGTAAGGCTACACCATCTAGATGGCACTTCGAGGTGAACACCATCTTGCTACAACCACAACGTCACCACTATCACCACAAGGTCAATCACATCAAAACATAGTGTCAAGGTCAAAACCATCTAGTTATAATCCCAAGTTTAACACTATCTACCTACATTCTAATGGACAATAGCTTCTAGCTACAACTTGGAGGTCGACTTATAAGTTTTTAACACAACACCATTTAGCCACAACCTTAAAGTTTTTAACACCATCTTGTTTCAACCATAAAGCCAATACCATCAAGTTACAACCTCAAGATAGACAACAACCACCTAAAATCTCATGTCCAATAGCTTCCAGCTTCAGCCTCATGTTAACACCATATTGCTTCAACCACAAGGTCAAAACTGTCAAGCTACAACTTCAAGATAAACACCAACTACTCACAATCGTATGGTTAATAGCTTCTACATACAACTTCAATATCAACACAATCTATCCACATCCTCAAGGACAACATCACCTTGCTAAAACCTCAAGGTTAACATCACCTAGTTACAACCTCAAGATCAATACCACCTAGTTACAACCTCAAAGTAAACATCACAAAGCTACCACCTCAAGGTCAACATCACAAAGCTACAACCTCAAGGTCAACATCACCTTGCTAAAACCTCAAGCCACACCATCTATCTTTCATCATAAGATTAATACCATCTAGTTACAGCCTCAATGCCAAATATATAGCCATAAGTGGTTTACAAATTTTTTCAAGAAATTAACATGCTCAGTTTTGCCTAAAAACAAATATGCTGACACATTTTGAACATCTCTGTACAAGCATGAATTAGATACCTCATACTCCCTCCAAATTTCATTGATTCTCATGCGTTCCTTGAACTGCTGGTCAATCTTGCGACGTTTCTTGATGTACTCTGGTAAAGTGCCTTCCTGCAATTGTTGCAGCTGCTTCTTCAAGTGAGCAAGCTTATCTTGGTACATCCTGTTTATGACATATATAGTCTACTGTAATGCTTGTAATTTGGGTATTTTTACAGTCATAGTGCATTCTGCTTTCAATACTATAAGAATATTCAAGACTACCTCTGATTAACAGATGTACAGAATTACAGAACCAAGAGCCAAGAAAACCTTTGATTGTTTATATTCTCAGGAAATCCCCCTACAGCTTAATGACTAGATAATAGTTCTCTGGTATAATGTAGATGTAAATTTAAAGCACAATGGTAAGTACAGTTACTGCCTTATTTTCTTATGAATAGACGCCACAAGCACTTGAAAATATTACTATTCCTCTTCTTTCTTCATCTTTATGCTGGTCTTATTAACAGGATATTTCACCCTTCTTCCTTTTGCTACAGATTCTATCAGTTAAGTGAATGATGTTACCTGTTCCTATATTTTATAATTACTTACTGTTCTTTGATTTCTGTATATTCTGTTTGCTGCTTTGCCATATCAGTCTCACTGGCATCTTCAGTATCTGGAAAGTAGAACTTGATCTTATAGTCATGAGAATATTATTATTGTGATTAATAAGAATAATAATAATACAAATTTATTCATTAATAATTGCTCAAAATCAATACATGAATAATGCAAAAAAATGAAATAGAGACAGGAAACTTGAAAATTGCTTTTTCAATTTCAATGAATAATTCGACAAGAAATGGCTGTATCACATATCAATTCCTGACTCGACTAATTACCTTAATATGTTTTTATTAATCAGACCTTTACTTAATTATAAATACCAATAATCATGTGCTATATATGATATTAAACTATGATTTTATATAACATATATACAAAGATTTTGATAAAAGCAAATATTGCTCAACTTTATAGTCAAGGAAACAAAAATGTAGCTACAGCACTTTACACAAAAAAAGAAGAAGTTGAACACATTTTTCTTTCTTCACAAAATAAAATGTCTCCATTTAATTATTTAAATGATTATTTCCCCTTCAACCCACATAAACAGATTTATTTATTTATTTTTGAGAGTCCTGACTATTCAGTATCTTATATAAAGATTTTTGCTGACAATATGTATTACATTCATGTAATTATGAATGTATATGATAAATTATGAAAGTTCATCTTTAAATAAGTTACTGTGTTTTAATTAATAAACTATCATTAACATGATCAATCATACTTTGAATTATTACATGATCAAAGATTCATCTGATTCTAGATTGACAATATTTAGCTGGATTAATAACGCTCAAGGTATTTTTTTTAAAATGTTTAGTGACATCATGTTCTAAATACAAAGCAGTGATCATTATGAGCATGTGCAATACCATACATCTAAATCTAAACTGATATGACTAATACAACACTAACACAATTTTAAACATTTTTGGGTATAAAGTTTAGAGACCTACATGAAGAAATTCTATAATTTCCACTTAGTACATATATATCAATGTAATTTTGAATAAGACAGACTGTTTATGACACTGATAATTTATGAAGGGAAACGAACTAAAAATAACTGCTAATCATGTGATGAAAGAATACATGAATCAGCATAAATTTCACAGAATGATAAATGAATGTCTGTAAGATCACATTAAATACAAGTCTGTACATCTGTGACTGAGGAAATATTCTACAACTGCTGAGTATCGTATCTACACTGCACATGCCTCCAGACAAACAAACAATGGTAATAAACACACACAAGTACACCCAGTACTTTACCTCCAGTGGAAGCCATCATGATGCTATTTATATGATATATGGGGATTCCCCTATGAGATCATGATTAGCTTAACAAAGGGAACTAACTGTGATTCATAAGTGTTCAATACAATACTTATCTGCATGCAGCACAATATTTTTAAATGTATTTGATATTAGCAAAGTGATAAATTAAATCTATCCTACTGTTTTAGGATTTTCTTAACCTTTATTTCTCATATCATTGTTTTTGTTTCACTTTCATACCAAAACTTAAATTCCTGTTTGATATGCAGTCAAAATTTGGGTTCTGGCCAGTAGTAACTTTTAATTATCCTAAGAAAATATGTCATGAACATAAGACCTAAAACTTGATTCTTGCATATTGCATGTAAAATTTCATATGACTTTGTTTTACCTGTTTCTTGATACAGCTAAGTTAGAAAATTAAACTACATTTGAATACTAACAAAAGTATTCATTTCAAAACAACTAGGATAACTCAATAAAGTCAGACAATTGGTGATATGCTGAAAATGGCTGGTCACAGTATTATTTGCTTATCTGAGATTGATTGGGGGAAACCATAACACACCAAAAAAACGCTTGGGATTTTTTTTTAAGTGAGCTTATCAAATAACAGTATTTGTCAATGAATTAGTAATCTTACTAGTGCTATAATTTGAAATATGGATGTGTTAATTTCCAAAATACATGGAATAGACTCCCCCTCTACCGGTTTTTATAATGTCTATGATCATAGTAATGACAAGCAATATCTTACACAGATACTCTGGATGATTAACAGAAACAGGATTTACATTGACTTGCTCTTCATTATTTACTAAGAAACTATTTACAGTTTATATGTTATTAACCCTTAATAAAAATAAGTATAAAGAAAACATTCTTGTAACCAGTAGTCCCAGCTAAGTGCCTGGCCCATTTAATTTGATTAGTTGGCAAACCTTAGCAAATGGCTTACCTCCCTTAGACCATATTATCAACAACATGCTTTTGCTATTAAATCTAAAACTATGAGAAAATTTGTAATAATTATGCCATCTTTGAGGATATGTTCTCAAAGTACATCTTCGCTTGATAACATTTGCGTGAGTGCAAATGACTGCAGGACACGATTAACTTTTCATAAACACAGCAAAAGATTTCTCATTTGGTTTCAAATAGCACCATCTCTTCTGAAATTTGTCCACTTTGACAATAGTGTAGTTGCTCATTTTAGTTAAATCAAATTAGAGACGAAAATAACACTGATATGTACGTCTCTTGTCAGATCTCCATTTTAATTTAACACTTTGAAATCTTAATGCACCAGACCCAAAAAGGGGATGGGGGGCAGTAGCGAGGTTTGCGAAAAAAAAGTTGCCTGAGAAACATAATCCGTCAACTGGTCATCTCCTACTATATTGGAACTTATTAAGAAATCGTGTCGATGTTGTCTCTCACATGCATACGCCAAGGTAGATTTATAAGGACGAAACGACAGTCTTCGTTATCAAAAGAACACGAATCGTTAAGTTTCCTTAAATTCAATACTATGCATGTCAATATTAGTGCAAAGTAACAACCATTATACACATTCCATACACCAGGCATACCTATGCATAAGGCAAATTCAGGCAAAATGTCTTATGCTTTGTTACTTGCAACATAACGTTGCAAACTTATCGTAAATTACAGTGCCGTTGCATATATTTCTCCTACAGTTACCTTCATCAGTACAATTATCATCAAAATCTCGATCATCGTCGAAATCAAACAGGTCATCGTCGTCCAAATCATCGTCGTTTATGTAGCGCGGCGAAGATGTGTAACTAGATGCCATGATGTTGTTCTTCTTTGAAACAACTTCCGGGGAACCATTAACTTTTAAGGTCAATATAGCCCATAAATTCAGAAGACTTTGTATTGTAAAGAAGAATTGTCTAAATTATTTAATTTTTAGCATTCTATGGTTATGCAATAATGTCTTATAAGTAATTGCGTCAATATAAATCGATGAATACACAGGATTTTGAGAATCATTATAACATATTTTTATCGACTACATAGCTTGTAGTTTCACTTCCGTAAAGCTGCACATGCGTCGTACAGACAGACTTGAGAGCTATCAACATCTGTAGAGTATACGTAGCATTTACTCACTAGCACGATCAACACTTGTCAACTGGGTTGGAGACATAAAACGATGGCAGCTCAGACTTTTCAACAGGAATATATGCAGATGCCCCCAATTACGCGGGCTTACACAACAGCATGTGTTTTAACAACAGTCGCTATTGTAAGGATTTGGTATTGATTATTGATAAGTTAGTAACTCATAACTGTAAGTTCTGGCTTCTAATCCAAATAGAAACATATAAAGATGTTAGAAAAGCCAGCCATGATATCAGAGGAAGGAATCGTCAAGATTCTCACCCTTGGACTGGTTGGAAATATTTTTGTTTAATCACGATATTGGAAATTCCGTATTCTCCACGTTTTTATATAACCTTTTCTACCTATTCCCCTGAAAGGACAGTATAGTGGACAAATGACACATTTAATAAATCGATATGCCCAATGGCCAGTGAGAGGTGAATCTTGTGTTCTTAATAAAAATGTTGTTAACAAATTAAAGTGACTTTTCATATGTATCAATTGAAAAATATATATTCAGCTTTTTAATGCTGTCAATTTAACGATAATTTTCTTCGTGGTGTTAGCTGAAAGAGATATACATTATAGGATGGTATTTCCTTTGTATTTAGTTTAAACATGGATTTTGTTTTATAAACATCATTATATGAAAAGTTAACAGAAATTATTTGTAAAAAAAATCTGTAAGCTTTCTAGTTACTTTTTAATTTTGAGAGAAAAGAAAGCTTTTGCAAGGAAGCATATGCAGTTTGTTATCCCTCTGTATCCTCCCCACCCAACCTGTTTACTTAGAAGGGCAGTAAATGACATTCAGATGTGATATCCTTCTCTGACAGCACACAATTGTGCCTCAGTTTTCATGATCATTAATGCGCTGAATGGTATGACCAATGTAGTCAAGGGAGTGCTTCAGACCACTTTCCTCGAACATGAGTTCGAAATGCATGGGATAATGTTTGCTTCATCAGTGTACATTATTTTTTCAACTTGATTGTATGAAATGTTATATTGTTGAACTTTTTTTTCACATGTTATCAAATGAAATGAGAGAAAATCGGAGGTAAATTTTTTGACAAATTTTTTGCATCACTGAGTAGAGCCATTATTGTCCAACAGGTGTAAGCCCTCCCATCAATTTTGTGAGGTTAGAATCTGTGGATACACAATATATGATTTAGAATTGTACATAGGTGTAATGACTGTATGCATCTATTCTACATTTGTATTCATGATAATCATACTTTTGTTCAGCATCCCAGCGGGAATTGAACCAGAGTTTTTGGCATTGAAGCAAACTACAGTCGTCATACGTTCTTCTTAAATTAGCTGTTACACACAGTTAGGTTTATAGTATAAGGAATTCTTCCTTGTACTCCATTAATGTAGAGGTAAAATTGGAAAATGGGGGTCAGTACCCATTGCAGCATACTACTTGACATTCTGTAAATGGTCACATTTGATTCCCCACATTTATTGGTAAGGCAATGTGTCGGAAATATATTTCATGGGTCAGTAACATTTCTGTGCTTCACAATTAAGAAATAGCAAAGATCTTGACATAGATCAAATTGAACTTAAATTTGACCATTTGTGGACCAAAGACATTTGGAGGATGATGGATATAGGATGATGTTGTTCAACCAAATCATGCTTTTAAAATCAAAGCCATATTTCTAGGTTTTACACAGGGTTTACTCATAAACATCATGATATTATATAACTCATCCAGTATTTATAGTATTTAAATCCATATTTCAATAATTTTTAAGTTTCTTGCTCTCCTTTTTCCAAGCTCCTGAATTCCTTGTAGACAGGCTTGTAAAAAGATATTAAGTTTGGTTTTATTTTTCATTCTCTTTACAGCAACTTGATGTGATAACTCCATTCCAAATCTATTTTAATCCAGACCTTATATTTAGAAAATATGAGGTAAGTTATTTGTAAATTGTGTATAACATCCAACAAGAAAACAATAGGTATTCTCAAGAATTGTATTTGTTAGAATTTGAATTAGCCACAATAAGATTATTTGTTTGTTCAAGATGCTAGTTTGAATGGGATAGATGATTAGATATAATTATATGCTAAGTTTCTGCAAATTGGCTTGTAATTCTCTTTTTTCCCAAGGATGGTAACAACATTTCAGTACTGAAAGCAAAATTTCTCCAATCAAAATTATTATTTTTTTTTTGCCTTTTTTTTCTATTCAGACACTGTAATGATAAGAATAAGCATGTCTCATTTGACACTTAACACTTTCTGTACCTCCTCATCATCCAATGATGAAATGTAATTATATCTATTATTTATATTTATGTTTTTTCAGGTATGGAGATTGGTAACAAATTTCATGTACTTTGGACCAATTGGATTTAATTTCTTATTTAATATGATATTTGCGTATCGTTATTGTCGGTTATTGGAGGAAGGATCTTTCCGTAATCGAACAGCTGATTTTTTTTTCATGATAATATTTGGAGCTGCTCTTATGATTGTATCCTTTGTCAATCAAAATTAATTCATTCTGTATTATGTGATAGTCTGATGGTGTGAAATGAAAACATTTTAAGTGTTTCAATATTTGTGGTTCAGCATAAGCTTTAGAAAAGACTAAAACACTTGAACTTATGATCTTTGAATTCCAACTCATTTACTCTAGACTTAATACATTGTATTCATCTTGTGACATTATATAAGAATTTTAGGGGAGCAGTATATGACACCTTGCAGAATATGCATCATTTTCACTAGTGTAGAAACTGTAAAGAATTCTGACACACTGTGCTGTCACAACTATAAGATATTGGAATAACTGATTGTGAGGCAGCATATCATCAAACTGACCATGTCTTTTTATTTAAGCTGTATCTTATTTAAAACCAAAACAAAACAAAAAAGGTACCTGTATCAGCAAAGAGATCGGTTTTGAAATTTATGCGTGGAATCAATCAAATCAATGGATGCTTTCAATTTTACCTTGAACTATTTAAATGACAAAGCAAAACCCAGTTCATCAAGAATAAAACATTTGGATTTTGAAGACAAAGAATATTGTATACAACTAAACTTATGACCTCACACTTGCTTTCCTAATTTGTCCTTAACTCTTCTCCAGGTTGTCGGTTTGTTTGTTAATATAGTGTTTTTAGGCAGTGCTTTCACTATTATGCTTGTGTATGTATGGAGTCGAAGAAATCCCTTTATTAGGATGAATTTTTTTGGGCTGATGACCTTTCATGCCCCATACCTACCGTGGGTTCTACTTGGCTTTTCCGTCCTGCTCGGAAATTCTGTAATGGTGGATTTAATGGGTAAGATATCTTAGTGTTACTGTGAGATTCTGGAACAGTTGAAGAAAATAGCAAGATATCATAATGTGTGTAATTGAATATATGTAATTTGTCTATTGTGTGTAAGTATATATATCTATTTGTGTATGTCAATACTAAGTTGTTTTTTTTTTAAATTATGATGAGTGAGATATTTCAATCCTCTAGGGGAATTCTGTTTCTGTGGAATTTTAAGGGTAAAATATCTTAATTCTGCTTGAAAATTCTGTATTTATTGGCATAATTTAGAAGATATGATAATCTTGTTAGTAAATTATGTAATGATGGATCTGATGGATAAGATATCTTAACTGAGCTGGGAAACTGTATTATTTTATAGTTATAAGTAAAGAGTATGTCACCTTTACTTACCTCATGTTTCTATGGTTACAGGTATTGCTGTTGGACATGTATATTACTTCCTAGAAGATGTTTTTCCTCAACAAAATGGAGGATTCAAATTATTAAAAACGCCAGCATTTTTGTAAGTGCAGCAAAAGCATTTGAGTATTTACCTGTATGTATATATACATGTATAAAGTTGTTATGCTGATCATTAGTGAATTTGCCAACCCTCCATAGCTGTCAAATATGTACAATGGACATGGATATTGAATTATCGTTGTTCCTGTATGGTTTTAAGTATGGACACAATTTACACTGTTCTTGTCTTGGTAATGATTGGTTATAGAAATGATGTTAGGGAAATGATTGGCTGAAGAAATGATGTCGGGGTAATGATTGGCTATAGAAATGATGTCAGGGCAATTATTGGCTATAGAAATGATGTCGGGGTAATGATTGGCTATAGAAATGATGTCAGGGAAATGATTGGCTATAGAAATGATGTCAGGGTAATGATTGGCTATAGAAATGATGTCAGGGCAATGATTGGCTATAGAAATGATGTCAGGGCAATGATTGGCTATAGAAATGATGTCGGGGTAATGATTGGCTATAGAAATGATGTCAGGGCAATGATTGGCTATAGAAATGATGTCGGGGCAATGATTGGCTATAGAAATGATGTCGGGGTAATGATTGGCTATAGAAATGATGTCGGGGTAATGATTGGCTATAGAAATGATGTCGGGGTAATGATTGGCTATAGAAATGATGTCAGAATAGTGATTGGCTATAGAAATGATGTCAGGGTAATGATTGGCTATAGAAATGATGTCAGGGCAATGATTGGCTATAGAAATGATGTCAGGGCAATGATTGGCTATAAAAATGATGTCAGGGAAATGATTGGCTATAGAAATGATGTCAGGGTAATGATTGGCTATAGAAATGATGTCGGGGTAATGATTGGCTATAGAAATGATGTCGTGGTAATGATTGGCTATAGAAATGATGTCAGGGTAATGATTGGCTATAGAAATGATGTCAGGGTAATGATTGGCTATAGAAATGATGTCAGGGCAATGATTGGCTATAGAAATGATGTCAGGGCAATGATTGGCTATAAAAATGATGTCAGGGCAATGATTGGCTATAAAAATGATGTCAGGGCAATGATTGGCTATAGAAATGATGTCAGGGAAATGATTGGCTATAGAAATGATGTCAGGATAGTGATTGGCCATAGAAATGATGTTGGGTTAATCGTTAGCTACTCTTATGACAGAACAAGTATTTGTCTGCTTGAAGCATGTTGCATCAGATGCTTGATTTGACCAATATTTCTCATTACAATGACTTTATTACAAGCCAGTGTTAGATTACAGACCTTCACCATTCCTAGCTGTTAAATTTTGTATTTATATCCATATTTGAAGGCTTCAGTAATGGCATCATTTGGATTTCTTTTGCAGAAAATATATCTTGGAAGGAGCACCAGAGGATCCTAATTATAACCCTCTTCCTGAAGATCGGCCTGGAGGGTTTGACTGGGGAGAGGGACAGGCTGCAGGGAACAGAGATCAGCCTAACCAGGGGTAGTGCGGACATTAACACTTTTTAAAGAAGTCTCAAACTTACAGAAGATAAAGAAATCAAGGAAGATGAGATATTTTGCCTACATATATAACATTATAATGACGGGCCAGTTGACTGGCATTTAAACTGTTAAACAGTTGTGTGAGCATGTATTAATGAGTACTTGTTATGTATACATATTCTGTATAGTAATATAGATTCTTGGATAAGTCTTCATTCATCATCTCACCAGTACATAATATATATATATAGAATTACCTATCCATGTATATTTTTGAAAGATTTATATTTATATCTGTGACGTTTCAAATGTTTATTGTGTAGATGTTTCACAATTGTTCAGTGATGCTACACTGCACCAGCGTTTCAAAGAAAACAGCCATTTTTATGATTTGCAGAAAAAATGTGGCCATAATGTTAGGATCCTGAATTTTACACAAAAATGTCCAGTTTGAGTTTATAACATGAAGACCTAGAATCACAAACTGAACTTGGTACAATTTACACTGTGTGTGATGAATGTGTCCATATGTGAATCATGCCTATTTCAATTAATTTGTTGTTTTCAAATATATATGGATAACATAACTTTGAAAGGTTGTTCATCTTGAACTTTTAAAATTGTTTTAATTTGGATTATAATAATCAATACATATTAGCTGTTATCAATCAAAAAATAAAAAAAAACAGGAGAGACATAAAAAGTGATGTTATTATTTTAAACAATGTAAACTTTTTTTTAATTTGAAGGTAATAACCACCTCTTCTCAAACTATGAACAAACCTTTTTCTAGCCAAATTTATCATGTGTTTAGTTCTGTCTAAACATTCTTAGCTTTAATATGCCTTTAAAATAGTGTTGTGGGAGGAATTTATTGAGAAAAGTGAGTTTAGATCTTTTATCCAATGGCTTATTTTCAGCCCTGTATCATCAAGGAAAAGATAATATCTGCAGGAAATTTTACCTGTTTAGAAGATAATTTCTTTCTTCACATGAACGTTGTCTGTCTGCAGTTTCATGTTCTCTAAATGGGAAATTTAGAGGCAAATTTCTCAATGAATGGAAAATATGTGAAGTACCTCAAATGAGCAAATCGTAGATGTGATATTTGGTATGTAGATGGCCAAGATAGTGTACAGAATTAACATTCACTTATTGTACATTTTCTATATGCTAGGCATTATCAGTAAAACATGTCATCTACTACGTCCACAATACTCTTGTTCACACATGTTCAGAGTTGAACTGTAAGGTTGGTGTCCTCTGTTTGGTGGGAGAAACTATCAATACCTGTTGTGTTTGGAATGATTCTGATGTTTTATCAACTTTTTTACATCAATTTTTAGTCAATTAATTTAATCAAATCTAGTCTGATACCAAAATGTTCTTAGCACATTTTAATTATTTTGACTAGAAACAGTGATATTAAAGCAGTCGGCCAATCCTTATGTATTGAATGGTTAGTATAGCTGTTAATGATGTACAATATCTGTGTCACTTAGATTCAGCAAGTGAAAACAAAGTGTTTTTCATCATATACAAATTTTGACCTCCATGACCTTTACATTAAACATGGTGAGGATGACCTTAAGTTGTTTAATTGTTCAGTTCTTAACACAGTTCTATCACTTATAATTTACTTGTTAAAGAATTTAACTACCGTGACCCTGAACTATGTAATGATAGACTAAACTATATATTTAGCAAGACACGACCCTTACTTTGGAGACAGATCTGTCACCTGCAATCAGTGCAATTAATCACCTTGAATTGAACTAACATCTAAATACAAATTTGTGAAAAATAATCCTCTAGTCTTGTTATATGGTGGTGAGAAACTGTATGTATCTAGTAAATGTTTTTATTGCCATGTTTTATGACGGTATTGTAACGAGAACCGATCAGCGTTGTAAAGACTCTTCAATACAGAACCCAACAACTACTTACAATATATACAATTTATTCACACTATTTTACATAAATAATGATATCACTCTCTCTCAAGTTGCATCCACCTTCACAATTCATACCCTGAAAATATCTACAAATCTACAATTAAATTTCATATTTCCTGTACCTTTACTTTGACAACAACCAATCAAATGGCTTTGTGATTCCAGTGTAGGTATCAATCACCATCACTACCAGGTAAGTATATGGCTTTCTCACAACGGAATATGCAGACTGTCGCTATCACCTTCATCGGACCTTCAGCTTTAGGCCCTATGCCAGGCAGTCAGCGTTGCTTGTTGGTCATCAGCCCATTAAGCTACAATATATAGTAACTTTAACCTAACATCTATCATTAATGAATATTTACAAAACAAAATATACTTATTACTCTTACTTTTGGAATGAATATCAATACAAATTTTATATAGATTAAATACAATAGTTTTAGGGAGTTATTTTTATCTTTCTAAAACAACAATAAGAATTTTTTATATTATGGACACGAAGAGTTCATTTAACATGTCAATAAAGTAAGACATGGTCGCTAGTGCACAATATATATATAGAAGAGAGAGAGATTATATTAATAATGATGTTAAATGTATATCTTGGGTACGAATCGTCCAATACACTGGGTACAAGACGTCCAGTCGTTCTGAGTACGAATTGTCCTGTATCCGTCTGCAGCGCCGCCATCTTGGGAAGGTATTGCCACTAGCGCCACACCATACCTAAACAGTGGGCCAAATGCTAGAAATCCCACTAGCTCGGTCACTAGACCACGTATCAACACAAATAATACTTTAGTTTAAAGCTGAGAAAAAGTTCTATGCTGTAGTCATTTTAAAGTCGAGTTATCGGGAATCAAAATTAAAGAAAAAATAACGGAAATATTTAAAATGTGAAAATTATTGGAAAAAAATAAACTCTTCAGTTATTTTGCATAGCATAATTTATAATGTTCTAGGACTGTCTGTTTAAGAAGTTTATTGGTGTGTGGACATATAGATGTACATCCTAGAGGTTGACTGTTTTATACAATTTCTTAACAGCTTTTACTTTATCTTAAGTCCCATATTGCACCAGTCGAATACAAAGTATACACTCTCTTCATATGCAGCATTGATACCATAAACCAGTCAACAAATCATGTCTTCTGTCTACATGTTCTGTATTCATCACTGATAAGCCCAAGATAACTATATATTGTACAATTTATAGACTAGTTGCTTATTTTGTGACCAAAATGAAACTACTGTCAAACACAAAAGGTAACTGTAATCAATCACACTACTTTGCACACGTCAGTACACAATATAATGTTACAGCAAAATGAAAAAAACTACTCCTTACATCAGGCGAATGACCATCTCTTAGTTAAGCTGCTCAAATACTTAAAGATAATACTTCAAAACTCCTTTCATCATTACTTGAAACACTGCCTGTTACAATGACATCTACTACTTAGAACTATATATATGTTTACAAGTCAAAATGAATAGGCCCTATCATACAAATGTAAATCGAATAAGGTACACATTCTGTAGAACATGAATTTGTACATGGTAGGAACAGGGAAACTGCTTCTGTTTATGACAGCTTGTACAATACCTTCCCAAGATGGCTGACCGCTAGACATGTCACAGGCGCCGTTGCACGACATCTAGAATTAGATATCTATGGTCTTGTCCGTCAAACCACCTGCCTATTCTCTGGGTCGCGCATGCGTTACTTATCGGAACAATGATTTAATAAGTTTATAGCGCGATATTCAAAACTTACCTTTACATATTCCGGTTTAAATGGCATGCGACAGGTATAATAAATTTCAATGACAAATAAACTTGTGTTTATTTTCATTCTAACTCAGAGTGAGATCAGCACAGTGCACAGATACCTTTCACATCATTGTCCCGCATTTGAATGACATGGGAGCTATTCACAAATTTACTCTTTCTGTCTTCAAGAGCGACTGTGGTTATTTATGGCCATTTATACATGACAAAATTCACATCCCCAAATTTGATGACTTTTTGCTCACCTGGCTGAAAGGTTGAAAGGCAAACTGCAGTGTCCGAAATCTTCTGACGTCGGTCAACTTTTACTATATATTGCAACTATTCAGTAACAGCTGAACGATTTTAATAAAATTTGGTTTAAAATATCCTTGGGAAAGAGGAACCAACTTTGTATAAATGATGGGTCTGCTCCCCCAGGGGGTCCGAGGGATGGGGCCCAATTTCGTCTGAAGTACGCTTGGGTGAAGGGAAATCAATTTTGTATAAAGGTTGGGTCTTAGCCACTGGGGCCAGAGGGGCGTGGCATATTAGGGAAAATCTATCAATTTCTTTTAAATATATCTAGTTCTTATGTAGGAATGCCTGCATTCTGTCCCAGTTTGGTGTGAGACATGCTTTGGAGAAAGGGATCAATTTTTTTATAAACAATGGGTTTCGGTTCATTGGAACCAGAGGGCTGGGGCCAAATAGTGGGCACTGAGCAAATTGTTAAAGTCTTTACTCTATTGGAACTGAGACAATCTTGGTGAAGAGAGCTATTTACAAATAGCTGCATCTAACCCCCACTTACAGGAGGGTCTAGCCTATAATGGGGGAAAAGTGTTTTAAATACTTTTTACTGAATTGAAATAAATCAATTTTCGCAAACTAAATCAGATAAGTGATATAGGCTTTATGGGCCTATTGTTTTTATAAGTAACAGTGAAAATAGGAGATTATTAAGGTCATCTAACCAGGTCAAGTCAATTACTTGATGGGTTTTGATGAAATTTAATTGATTTCAAATACAGATCTGCAACACCATTTTAAAAAATATTGTTTTTGCCAATGATTAACTTTGTAATTTAAATGTTCCTGTGCTTTACAAGAGTATACAAGGACACCATAAATATTTCAAAATCTTCATAAATATTTGGATCTAAATGAAACATCATTCACACAACCTTTTCTTGACCCTTCTTTGATCTCTCTGGCATTTCCTTGATATGATAAAAGCTCTCCATGTTAGGAAAGATATTTTCACAAACCCTCCAATATATTTGCCATGAAACGCTTTCACAAACCCCTTTATATATTCAAGTATCTGTTTTCACTACATATTTAATTTGTTAACGAAAATGTCCCTCCTCGTATAAGCCAAGCATCTATATGCTATTCATTAGAAAATGTTTATCAGTCCTTTAAAAGATTGACAACTTCTTCAACCTTTGATAGTCAGTCCATGATATTGGCTATGCAACTCCTCATTTAAATTCTGGTTATCTTTGAAATTGATTTTACATAGACAAAAACTCACTAGTTCATATGTAGGAAATTTGACCTCTGACCTTGACATTTGTTAAAGAACTTATTTCTTTCTGATCAACTTTGCTTCATATGTGATAAAATATATTCTATTGATGTGTGACCCAGTCACCTTTAGCTTGCTCAATTTCACATATCTTCACATTTTAAACTTTGACATTGATCACTGACCTGGTCATTTTGATAGGTCAGGTGCCTTTGATGATTTATTAAAGTCAACTGTGCTTTGTAATGTCATAAAATCTTTAACTAAAAATACTTAGTGTAAATAAATTTTTTAGCAATAGTAACTTTTAGCTGAAGGTCATAGTGACCTTACCACAGGCCAGTTGGTAAAGCCAGATAGTAATATATGAACGGATATAATTAAAGTTTCAACATATTATGTTACATGGTTCAAAGTAACAGGTGGGAAAATATGCAAAGAAAATATACTTTCACTTCTAACCTTGAGAACAAGTTCAGTGACCTAATTCCATTAAATGGCGAGACATTATCAGCAAGAGGGAGCATGTTCACTCACAAGTTTCACATTTCCTTCCCCATTTTTAACAAACTGTCGTCACCTTGCATCTGTAGTCCGTTGTCTTTCCATCTGTTGCCAATCGTTATACAGTTATTTTGATTTTGGGACTGATCAGAAGAACCGTGTGGTTGACAGTCAGCCAGCTTTGATTTTTTCTTAAGAAGTACTATGTGGACTTCACAAACTTTGCCTTTAAAAGCCAGTATTTATCAGCCCAATCTAAAAAAAAACCAGAAAACTTCCCAAAAATACTTATGCCCTCAGGATTGGAATTAGTCTTTAAGTGAACCAAATTTGAACCAATCTGGATAAAATGAGAATACCTGACACTACACAACCACAGGCTCCTCACGACATTAAAATGCAGCTTAGAAGTCTTAAATTATGATCAAGAAAGAAAACAAGACTTAATACATTTTTTCTTTTTAATATTCTCATCTGCAAAGCTGTGTTACACCAATTGAATCTTGTCTGTTGTTGTTGGAACCCAGAAAACAAAAATGTTTCAATCTTATACTCTTTCAATGAACAACAGTGAAAACTTTACAACGTGAATTTATCAATTAATACATAGTTTGTAAGAGTGACATCTGATATACACACCATTCAACCTTTATTGATTCAGATTTATCTGCAAATTCTATAATATAAATTCATGTATATGTATTATTAGCCTTTACATCAATTTCCCCAACACAGTAACTGATATTTTAATCACTTTCCTGAAATGAAATTATTACTGAACATTGACCCACAGTATGTGTTAAAGAATTCTTGATTGAATTTTCGCAATAATAATTATATAAAAGAACACACACGAAGAATCGACAGTGATATTAACACAATCAGCTGAAATCTTTAAGCTTTAAAAAAAATTATTTGAAATACCATTTTGGACAATTTTCTTTTCTAGAAAATTTCTCTTTACTCATGTTGAATAAGTTACAACACATTCGTTACAACCAAGTTGAAACTAGGGACTGAATGATCACTTAACTTAAGCTGAGGTACACATATTTCTTTGATCCATCAGAAATATTTGAATCCATGTCTGAAAGCTTTTCTCCTTTTTTGACTCCATCCCTTAGAAACTGGAATTTCTTCACATTAACTTCAAAGAACAATTTCCAAACTTAGAAATAAGATATTTTGGCCTATTTTATCCATTTTTTACTACCTAACACTGTCTGCCACACAACAGATTAAGTTAGGTCAGACAAAACAACAGCAATAGTATATACCTCAAGTAATAGAATGAAAAGTCACCTGGTACTTATTGTTTCCTCTGATTTTTGATACAAGATTAAACAAAATGACATTAATATTGGAAAATCCTACATTTACCTATACCTTTTAAAAGTTTTTGACATTATGGAGGTATACCTTGGTATCATGTAATTATCACTGTTACATGTGTCTAGAAATAGTGACTAATCACCACAATATGGATATAGATACTGGCGACTTTCATACCTTGGTACACTTCTCAATAAACAAATTAAAAAGACGTAGGTGATAGCCCAAGTTACATAAAAACCAAATCTAGGAAAGATGAAGTGTTTGTCACGTAAAGAAGGGTCTGGTTATGACATATGATATTATTATACCTATGACCTTAGTTAATCAAAAACACATTGAAATTTCGTTAGTCCTATTTGTTACCTTGTTTTCTTAAAAAAAATCTGAAGCTCTTTCTCACAGCATTCTAGTTATATGTATATTGAAGCTATTTACAGGTTGCTTTTAATCACATCAGCATTCAACTCAATTTCAAGTGCACACCAATTTTCAGAACTAGGAAGTCATTCTACATCTTCTACAGAGAGCACAGAATCAATTATTAGTGAAGAACACTGAACATGACGCATGAAATTGTCAGAGTTTAGACAGGCAAAGAAAGTCAGTAACATTAACAAAACACAATTAACATATACATTTTCTACACATTGGAATTTGTATGAATCACAAAATGCTGTGTGTCCCGTTGTAGTACCTTTGACACAAAGTAATCTCCCTTACCGGCTGCCCTTACCCCATTTAAAATGAATATCCCTCACTGGCTGTCCTTCCTTTAATATGATCGAACCCATCTCCGTGCCAGAAAACATTGCACTAATCTAAAGATCTGACTAAACAGCAAGATAAATCGAACATTTTAAAATAAAAATACATATGTATTGATGTGAATTATTTTCTTTCAGAAATGACATTTTTGTTATCAATTTCCTGCTGTATGGTTTTGTCCAAGAGAAGCATTGAATGTCTATTGCTTCAAGAGACAAATCAGTCACCATGTTAAGGGTTCTGATCACATGGCCTTTGTTTCCATATTGCATCAAGTTGTACTTTCCAATTTTATGAATAACCAACAAATACGGTTTACTGAGATTATTTCACTGTCACCAATGCAAGATGTTTTGCACAAAAGGGACAATCACATCTAAAGCGTGTTACATTTTTTTGTCCAATTCAGTTGTCTCTAAAGCCTTGTTCTAGAAAACACATTTTAAAATTAGTTTTTGTATATTGTAATTTACTGTGCTTAATTTCAATTTAACTGTTGAATTTTCTATTGTATAAATTAGAAGGCAAAACTTTCAAACAAAATAGATAGATAAATGAAACAACTCTATTGGACATTAACCAAGAAAAAAATCAATATGAAATACAATGTACATGTATTATCAATAGGAAATATACAAGAAATCAGCTGTACTAATAAAATGGTTGATAGAATGACTGACACTCAAGTCATAGTTAGAACATAAATGAACCGATACTGCATATCATAGGATTGCATATCAGGTTTTCTGAGTTAATCATTTTAAAAGACAGTCTAACTTTTCTCGATGCAACATAAATTAACCTCATGTAAAACAAAAGGAAGCTTTAAGAACAATGATACCTGTCACTACTACCTTATGGTGTATTTCCTTTACACTAAACCAATACTATCTAATATCAATCACATTCTAATAAAAATCTGTTCCAAACATGTGGACAATTATCATTTATGATTTCTTCTTGAAAAAAGGCCACAGTGATCTGCTGTAATTCAAAACCAAGGCCAAAATTTGTAAAATATGAAATAAACAGATATATCGACAGAAAAGTGCCATGATGTTTCCACGGTGACAGCTAAACAATGGTAAATCACAAACAAAGATGTTTGCAAGTCACCATGCATAAACTGGACATCATCCAAACTCTTAATCTGATGGCCGTTTCTCGGCATGCTTTTTTGTGTGCTCTTCTGCATTTTTCATAAACTGTTTGTGATCTCTGGAAAACTCCTCAGCTATGTCTGCTCTGAGTGGATGATCTGGTTCAGGGTCATTGACTAAACTAACTAGAGCCTGAATCACTGAAATATAAACCATGAATGAAAGTAAACATAAAACTTATATGCCAATGCTCCTACATTAACCAATTACAAAGAAATTTTTTTTAGTGATCATTTAAACACCATTAACATCATGTGTGTCTGTTATAAAGACAAAATCATTGACAAAGGGATGTAAAGAACATCCATTTAAAAGATCAAAAACTCAGGAATGAATCCTTTATTAGAATGAAAATCAAATAGAGTGTTAAAAAAGATATGGGATTGGTTTTTTTTTCTTTTTTTTTTGGTGGTGGGTGGGGGGGGGGGAGGGAGGGGATAATAAGTGGGCAGGCATAATATAGTTGATAAGAAGGGCATACCTTTGCAGGCGACCATAACTTATTGAACAGTTGCTTGCAAAGTCATGTCATTTATAATTAACCGTTAATGCCACATAATGTAATCGTAGTTCAATGTTTCAGTAGAGCCATCAATATTTAATTACACATGTATTGAACCATCAAATCTCTCCTCAAATGGTCCATCAAACTTTATAGCATGTCACACCACTAGACTTACCCTGGTCGGTCTTTGTTGCTGGTTTCCAATTTTCTGCACTTATGATTGGTAAACATACTTGTCCCTTTTCATCAACATTTGGATGGTAGATTTTTGTCTTAAATGTAATTTTAGGAGGTTTGAATGGATATTCTGCTGGAAAATTTATCTCTATCCGAAATGCTCCTTTATTATATGGTGGAATATCCTGGAAAAAAAGGTAATCAGATAATCTCTATAACTTGTAAACAAAAAAAACTTTCTCATTTAGAACATAACAAGAGAATATCCAAATACAATATCAGTTATCAAAGCACAAGGAACTACAGACAAAACAGTCAAAATGGTTCATCCTCGTCATGTTTAAGTGATATGGTCAGTATCTACCAAAACAAAGAGGACAGACACTCCCAATTGGATCTTAGAAGAGGGATAATCTGAAGACTTTTGCATCATTTGATCAAAATTTAAAAGGTAATTTAATAACCAAACTGGCAAAAGTGTACAATGTTTACAAGAGTAAGAAATAAGGAATAAATTTGGGGTGAATACATTACTTTATAATGTTGTGTTGTAAAGAAAGTTATTAGTCAACCTGACCTTTGACAATGGCTACTTACAGTTGACCTCATATATTACATGTTACTTCAAATGATTTAATGCTGTGTGTTACTACTTAAAATCCAAAATTTCTCTGTTCGCTTGGTTTAAAGCCACGGTGACCAATCACTCTGAGGTGGGGTTTTCTAGAAATAGCTGTACATCAATGGACATGATGCAAGTACACATCAAAACACATTTTTTTTTTATTTTCAAAACTCCATGTTTTCACATAGCCACTATAGGATTAATGGACAACCAAGTAACGCATGTCTGTAAGGTTGGCCAACCCAGTAATGAACCAGTTAAGTTTTGTTGATAATCCCACTACAGATAAGGGAACTTACCGAGACCAGGAGTCCATTCCAGATTAATATATTGCTCTCATCTACTGCTATGTTTTTGAAACTTGTTTTTGGCTGACTCTGTAAATCTGCAAGTTCCTGAAACATAAAGATGTATTTTTTTTACTACAGAGGGTTGATACATATACAAACTCACACATACAATAAGTTTTGTGACAATCTTATTTCTGGTGATCATGATACCACAATGCTATTTGGATATCAAAACCGACATGTTTTAATCCAGGTTTCAAAATGAACAATAGATGATGTTTGTGTCATACATAATACTGATTGTAAAATGCTGTAATCAAGTCTGTAAGATGATACCAAAATTTTGTATAACATGACCAATAGTAAAATGGTTTGGAAAACATCTGATAACGGCACATAAACAAGAGGTGATGTTTGTGATATGTATTTTCCAGCATAAAAAAGTCTGTATTTTTGGAGGAAATGTAAAATTGCGTTTTTATAGAACTGTCAGGAAGTCCTTTTGTAAATTAATCAAAAAACGTTTATATAGGATTTCCATTTTGTAACCTTGATCTGAATGATTTTTAATTCAGGATTTTGTGATGGCTCAAGCAACAAAGGTTTCCAAACCAAACTTTGAGCAACTGGTCCCAAAAGGAACTAACAGGGAATGACATATTACTAATCTTGTTTTCATACATTTTGGCGTGATTTGTTCTTTTTACTTTGGGGTAGGTATAATATAGCTACCCCAAAGTAAAAAGAAAAAATATTATAATATATAGGACCTCTGGTTATAATTACAGTGAGAGAGCAAGAGATTGCCAGTTAATGAACCAATCTAGGCATTTTATTTCTCCTTTTCATTTAAAATTTGGTGATTTTAAACCATTCAAAATGTAATTAATTATATATAAATGACTGAAAGGCTTTGTTGGAGGTATTCTGCAAAGAACATGTGCAGGAAAGGCGAAAAGAATTTTCCTACTGTATCTAATGATATTGCTTGTGGTAAGAGGCAGTTTATTGTAGTGCACATAGTATAGGTCAGGAGACTGTATTCTTCAGTCCTCAAATGTCCCCTAAACATGTCTGAGTCCCTGTTGTATTCAACTATATGATTGTAGGAGGAGACTGAAAGTGCCTCCTCCCTCGTGCAGAATTAGGGGTATTCTACTGTGTCTTCTGTTGAGGAGACACTGAAGAAAATCAAGACAAATCTGCTTTCCACTCATCGGAGTTTTGCAGATCTGAATGATTTTTTCCTTAATTTCCTGTCTGCTCTTTCTTCCCGTACTTTGTTTTCCAATCTTGGTGTCTATCTTTTTACCAATTGTTGACGATGGCTTTTGTGAGGACATTTAGCCTCATAAAAACTAACCACAAACAGTTTGCTAAAGAACATGAATTACAGTGGTATCATTTGCAGTGTAAAAGCAATAGCTTAGTATAGCTTGTTGATAGCATTACATCAATTTCTGTCAACAAAATGCTTCTTTGGCTATGTTGACTGCTATAAAGCAGTGAATTTAAACATATGTAACAAAGTTAATAAAAAAGCAATAATGGCACAGACTGTCATCTTTATTGCACTGGCATATATGTTCTTAAACTGGATTGGTGCCTACAAAATCTCAAAATCAACCTTTGTGGTGTATTGGTTGAGACTTGGGAAATTCATTAAAAAAAGGAAAACGAAAATGGGCCAGGGGAGTAGAAAAAACAAGAGGCCCATGGGCCTTAACGGTCATCTGACAAAAAGCAAGCCAAACCTAGAAAGTGGGTTGAGGTCATTCATTTGAACAAACTTGGTAGCCTCTCCTCCAAGCATCTCACAGGCCCAATATCAGCACTCATGGACTTTTGCTTGTTGAGAAGAAGTCGTTTGTATATTTTAACATATTTGACCCCTGTGACCTTGAAAGTGGGTTGAGGTCATTCATTTGAATAAACTTGGTAGCCTTTCCTCCCAGCATGCTACAGACCCAATATCGGCACTCATAGACTTTTGCTTATTGAGATGAAGTCCTTTGTATATTTTAACATATTTGACCCCTGTGACCTTGAAAGTGGGCCAAGGTCATTCAGTTGAACAAACTTTGTAGGGCTCCATGCCAGCATGCTATGGGCCAAGTATTAGCCCCCTAGGCCTTCTAGTATTTGAGAAGAAGTTATTTAAAGATTTTGACATATTTGACCCCTGCGACCTTGAAAGTTGTTCAAGGTCATTCATTTGAATAAACTTGGTAGCCTTTCCTCCCAGCATGCTACAGACCCAATATCGGCACTCATAGACTTTTGCTTATTGAGATGAAGTCCTTTGTATATTTTAACATATTTGACCCCTGTGACCTTGAAAGTGGGCCAAGGTCATTCATTTGAACAAACTTTGTAGGGCTCCATGCCAGCATGCTATGGGCCAAGTATTAGCCCCCTAGGCCTTCTAGTATTTGAGAAGAAGTTATTTAAAGATTTTGACATATTTGACCCCTGTGACCTTGAAAGTTGTTCAAGGTCATTCATTTAAACAAACTTGATAGCCCTTCATCCCAGCATGCCACAGGCACAATATCAGCAATCTGAGCCTTTTGGTTATTGAGAAGAAGTTGTTTAAAGATTTTAACATATTTGACCCCTGTGACCTTTAAAGTGGGTCAAGGTCATTCATTTGAACAAACTTGGTAGTCCTTCATCCCAGCATGTCACAGGCCCAATATCTACACTCTGAGCCTTTTGGTTAATGAGAAGAAGTTGTTTAAAGATTTTAACATATTTGACCCCTGTGACCTTTAAAGTGGGTCAAGGTCATTCATTTGAACAAACTTGGTAGAGCTCCATGCCAGTATCCTCTGTGCCAAGTATTAGCCCCCTAGACCTTCTAGTATTTGAGAAGAAGTCGTTTGAATGAAAAGTTTACGGACGGCGCACGGCGGACGACGACGGACGAAGCATGATGACCTAAAAAGAGAGCGTTATAACAGAGTGGATATGTCTATGGTTTCAGTCTCTTAACTGACAACTAGAGCAAACATCTTTGTGTTTGACTCAGACTGATAGAGTCATGGACTTTCAAACCAAAGTAGCAGGTTAAATTCCTCAATGGGTGCTTCCGATTGACAGGAATGTGTTTTCCATACATACTAAGCTTATTAGACCTTTTTTCTTGTGTAAATGGATTAAGTTTACCTTAGAAAATCCCTACATACTAAGCTTATTAGACCTTTATTTCTTGTGTAAATGGATTAAGTTTACCTTAGAAAATACAACAACACTTAAAACTGAAAGTATTATCAAAATTCATAGTAGACCAGTCAAAAGGACAACACTATGATATACAAGTATTCAACATGTACAGGGAATACAGCTACGACGAATACAAAAATTGATTTTAGCTTGGGTAAAAGCAGAGTAGTGGGTTAAACATTGGAATGTAACAATCATGATCGTATCGATGGCGACTGTATTACTTTTTTGTAACAGAATGTAATATTTCTTACTTATATGTTTTAGCAATTAATGGCAGATAAAGGTAAAAATTTTACTTCTTTCGTTGATAGGGCGACACTTTTGTTTTCTATTTGTAGCCATAGTGGCGAGCCTTTCCTCAAAGTCTTCTTACTTAGTTGATTCTGAATGTAGGCCTTGATTAGGCCTCTATACTCGGATCCAAATTTTGTCTTGCATAATTATTCATGTAGTCACTCCTAGTTGATGTAATGGTTGGTTGGCTGTCCACTACCCTGTACATTTTGTCTTCTGATTTCCAGAAGTTGTCCAATCAATTTTCGAAAGTATTTAGGGTTGGCGATCTGACCACTTTTTCTGGCAATGAATTCCAGGTTATTCACTACTCTCTGCATAAATTAATATTTCCTTATGTCTAATCTACATCTTCATTTCTCCAGTGATAGTGAGTTCCCTTGAGTACATTTTTTTCTGGTTCACTCTTAATAAGTTTTATGCTGCATTGTCAAAAAGGCCACTCAGTATTTTATACACTTCCACCATGTCTCCTCTGTCCCTTCGATATTTCAGTGATGGCAAATTTATGTATCTCATTCTATCCTCATATACGATATTTTTCAACCCTGGTAGACGCTTTGTTGCCCTTCTCTGCACACTCTCTTGTAACTTAATGTCCTGTATTTGGTCAAGATTCCAGATACTGGTCCCATATTCCAGGTATGTCCTGACAAATGCCTTATACAATAAACAGAACAATCTTTTATCAAGAGAGGTATATGTTCTTCTTACAATTCTTAGGACTCTGTTTGCCTTGTTCACTGCTGATTGGATGTGTTGTTTAAAACTCAAATTTCTGTCAACAAATGTGCCCAAATCTTTCTGTACACTCTCTTCACTTAACTGAACTGTACTAGTGTCTCCTGTGTCCTTGTAAAGATGTAGACTATCTCTGTTAGTATCCCTACCTATTCTCATCCAATGGCATTTAGAAGCCATTCATCTGACCAGCACTGCAAGTTATCTAAATCCTTCTGTAGATCTTTCCCCTTCCTAGTATAAGTATATACTTTTGTGTCATCTGCAAATAGCCAGTTGAAAGATTCTACTACCTCCGGCAAGTCATTTATGTACAAGACGAAGGGCATTGGTCCAAGGGCACTCCCCTGTGGTATGCCACTTGGGACTTCCCGCCATCCTAATGTCTGACCATTTACATTCACCTGCTGACGCATATCTGACAAAAGTCCCTTTATCCAGTTTCTCACCTTCTCCGATATTCCATACGAGTCCAACTTTCCCAGCAGCCTCCAGCTTTTTTAAAATCTATATAAACAACATCCACACTCCCACCTTCATCAAGTATTTCTGTCCAGTGGTCCATAACTTTCAAAAGTTGTAATACTGTTGATCTCCTTTTTACAAACCCAAACTGTCTATTGCTCAATAATTGATTCTTTACCAAGTGCTCCATCACCCTTGAACGAATAATTTTTTCCATCATCTCGCATATCACACTGGTCAAACTGACTGATCTGTAGCTGCCTGCTAGCCTTCTGTCTCCTTTTTTGTAAAGAGCTGTAATTTTGGCCTCCTTCCAAACATCTGGTAGCTCTCCCTCCTTTAAAGTTTGGTTTAATTTAAATTTTTAATGGTTTGATTATGACATCCTTTATTTCCTTCAACAGCCTTGGGTGTATATCATCTGGTCCTTGGGATTTATTGGGGTTGAGATCTGAAATAATCTTCTCAATTTCATCCTCTGTTATTTCCCAATCTACAAAGTGACCATTAATATCCTTATGTGGCAGTTTAGGTACATCTCCAGGGCTCCCGATATTCGGCCCCATTCCAAATGCAAAACAGTATCTTTTTTTCCCAATTTAGACCCCAAGTTTTCCTAATTCTAAGAAAACGCCGCAATTTTTCCAAATTCTATGGGCCCCGGAACCCCAGTCCCAAAATGGGGTGTGATAGCCCTGATCTCCATCTGGCTCTTTGGTAAACACACTAGTGAAGAAATCAACCAAGGTTCTACTTTCTCTTCATCACTTTTTGCTATGTGCTTGATTCTGTTATTTTCAAATACATTTAGTTCTGCGATTCCACTTTTGCTTTTAGCTTTTGAATTAGCATATTTCCAAAACTTTTTAGGATTCGTTTTCACATTCTCTGTAATTACTCTCTCTTTATGCTTCTTTGCATTCCTCACAAGTTTTTTCACTTTATTCCTGGCTTTTGTATACTCTCTATATTTCTCTTCCTCTTTAAGTTTTTTGGTTGAAGTTGACATTTTATCAATACCCCACACAAATATGAATCTGATGCATCCATGATCATTATTTCCTAATGCACTATGTACTTCAAGATCTTCAATCATGTTTTCTTCACTAGTAAATTCTAAATCCAGCAAGCTAGGTTCCTGGTTTTTCCTTAATCTTGTTGGAGTGTCCCTTAGTTTCCAGGAATTGGTACTCGTATTTGTTGTTATGATCAGTTGCACAATTTCCCTAGTTTATATAGCGGTAATTGAAATCCCCCAGAATTAGTTTGTAAGAATAGCCCAAATCGCCAGCCTCATGTAACAATAAGTTTAACCTCTTGTTGTTTTCGTCAGAGCTATTAGGGCTTCTGTTCACCCAACCCAACAAAAATTTATTTTCGCCATTGAAGTATCGAAGTATTGTTTAAAGTATCCATGGGTAAACCCTCTTGATTACCGGATGCAAAATACCGAATGAAAAAATATTCTGTGTTTTTATAGTACATAATTATTTCCCCATTTTATCTAGAAAATTCCTTATAGTGTTTACCTTCGAAAGTCGCCTGGTCGCTGCCATCTTTTTTCCTGTGTCACGTGACTGTAATTGTTCCGAGAAGAGTTACTTGCCCGTTGACGCATGTACAGCCAATGAATATTGGCGCAGTCAATACCGATCAGTAAGCTTAGAGGTAAATTACATATATAAAAAATTATTAAATTCGCCATTCAAAGTCATAAATTACCGGCTAGATATACACCTAAAACCGCTTTAAGTTTTATTTATATCTCCATTGCAATACAGATCACGTGTCTATATAATGTCCCAGAATCTGCGGATTTTATTAAAATCAATATCAATATATAGCAAGTCTACAGCGTCGTATCAGAACCGTGATGAACAGAGTGAGTGATGTCAATGAAATACCATAATCATAGACATCACCAGTTAGTTACATAGTATTTAATAAGTGATGTCATTAAACATCAATAACTATATACGGTATTAAAATTAATTAGTGATGTCATTGAATGCCATTGGAAAATATAATATTTGATTTCACCAATTAAATACTGTATATGGTACTATCAAATTGAATAAGTGATGTGACCAAATGCTGCACATGTTGTCTTCTGATAAGGATAGATTGTTGTCCCTGAGAGACCAACTTAACACTAATTCATCAATAATTGATATTGTCAGGGAAAATGCTTAACTGGATCACGACTTTCTCGGTAATTTTGCACTACAGGTCTTAACCTGTGTATCCCTTTATCTACAGGTAATCAGTGGATTACCTTATCAAGTTTGTTGTATTGTATGTAAAACGTTGCAATATTCTAACATTTATCTTCAAAATGTGTTTTATAGTCTAAATCCGGTGACGTGCATTCGAAAAAATTCTGTGATGTATATATATATATATATATCGTAAAGCTTGTGTTATACATTCTAAATATTGTCATGTATATCTAATATCTTTTGGTTTAAAATCTATATTTAGGGGTTGTTTGTTTCTGTAAATATTGTAATTATGTATTCAAGAAATCATGTGATTTATATCGTAAAACTTGTGTTTTATCTTCCTGCGTTGTAAAATATTCTGTTTTATATACATTCGAAAGCTTGTGATAATTTGATGTTATGAAATAAACAACAAAGAAAATACCAGCATGTCAACAGAATTATAACGCAAACTCATATTTAATGAAACTAGGGAAAATGTGAACATTAGAAAGACTTACACTCATGAAAAAGTACCAAGAGAATACGACCAGGCGTTCCGGAAGTGCAAGCATCTTCTGCTTCATCGACGTGTAATAGGGTTAAGTTTTAGGTAATTTTGGCCGCCGTTGTCTAGCGTCGCGCCGTTTGGATTTCCGCGTCGTCTGTGATCGTTATAAATGTATGTATATATGTTGCGTCTATATGTTTAGTTTGCCCGTGTGACGTAGTGTGTCTACGTATGTCCAGTTATTGTCTCGTTTTCGTTCCTTGGTCTTTGTCTGTATTTGGCGGGTTTTCAGTGGACAAAGGAGACATTGACCATTACGGACGATTGAAACCTCCGTCCAGATTATGAACACCTTGTCCCGTAAATTGTAAGTCATATTTTATATATTGCTTTGAAACATCGATTATTGTATTATATATCTTGTTTAACATCATTTGTAATGATGTTATTAATTTATCAAAATCCATGTATTGTATACACTAATAATACTGCCGATCTTACCGTCGGTTTGAAATGGGTAGCTTTATATATTTGTAGTAAATATACAATTACCCGTATACTGTGTAACTATTTATATATGCGTTGTTTTAATTACAGTAATCATCTACGATCCCAATGATATCAGTCATTTGTCTACGATCATAATGAGCCCTATGTTACTTTAGGACCCTTGACCCATTGTTGGGGTAGGTTTTCACATTAAATATTGTTTATTAAATAATGTTCTATTAAATGATTAAATAACGTGTAACGTACTGTGGCTATAGTGTGTCGCTATATTCCTTTTTTTTATGTTGTACTAAATATTTGTATTTATATAATATAAGTAGGTATCCATGTACATTGTGGAACAATTAAACTCTCTTTTGAGATAATTACCACTGTGATATTATCTGTAATGTATATTACGTGTGATATTTAATGTATTGTAAGGGATCGTATTTATGTGTTTTATGTATGTTATGTTGTAGGGTCTTTAGGGTTTAACCTAATAAACATCTGGAACCGGACCTGGTGTTCGCCCTCATTATTTTTTATAAAACAACCAAATTTACAGACGACATCTGCCATGTAAACTTGGTCAATTCAAGTAATCAATGCCACGTTCATATTACACAATGAAATAGAATATTTCCGAATGAAATCATTATATCGCATGTCACACTTCCCCATCATTTTCATCAACCTGTATTCCTAGAATCCCGCGTTTTGAGCTTGTCTCTGAGTGGTTCCAGAAAATCATAACATTTGAGAACAAGTCGGTGAATATCGAATCAACCGCGACATGTAAATACGATATCGACTGGGGATGCAAGGATGTTGCTATCAAGAAATGGAAAATTTTGATATGGAAACTGAATTTATCACACTTATCATAGAGCCTAGTAAAAAGGCAGTCCCTGTTTCATTGCAGGAAAGGATAGAGATAAGCGACTTATATAGAAGAGTCTGTGGTATCTTTGATTTCCAATATAGGTTGGTATATGCGTGGGACATAGTCAATACATGTCTTGTTAATTAAAGACAACACATCATTTATATATATCTGAAAGTGAAATTGAAGGACTTTGCAACAAGGTCTTTGTGACTAGTTTTGATAAGATTGTACAAAAATCATAATCACCCTTTAATAGATTCAGCTTGGCGTGAAAATAAAATTCAGCCAAACGAGGGCCATGGTTTGTTCCCAGGGGTATTCCAGTAGTCTATTGTAAGATCTTACCGCCAAACTCAACGCAGAGATTGTCAACCAGAAATTCGATACAATTTCTCTCGTATTCCTTATTTGGTTTGAACGTATTTTTCACAAAATATGCTTCAGTGAAATTCACAACCATGTATTTGTACCGCCGTTGTTCACCTTTCCTGGAAAAGAAATCTCTTACAACAAAAGAAGGAAGCGTGCCTCTAGTGTGAAATAGGACATGGTAGTGTACGTAGTGGAAAATTTTAATATTCTTATAGAAAAAAATGTTGTTTGAAGCTCTTTGAAGTTATGTTAAATCATTATTCCGTTAATTCCGCTTCTTGAGTTAACACTATAACAACAAGCATGAAACACTGATTTGACAGTACTAAGATTGGTAGTAAGACGCCAGAACAAAGGCTTGGTTGATCAGCTAAGCAAGCCAGCAACAAAACGTTGTTTATATGGATTCTTGTGATATTTAGAAACTTAATTCAAATAAGAGAGGTCAGCATCCTGATAAATAATTGGCAATTTGAATGATTGACGTACTGAAGCGTAATTATCCAGTATTTCTTCTTTGAAAAAAATTGGAGTGTATAAGTAGGATGTTCTTCTGTATCGATCAAGCCTGGTTCTTTTTTGTATGCAGGAGATGTAATAATGTACGCAAAAAGGACTGATGTATTTGATGCATTGTCTGCAGGCATAATGACATACTTATCATGTGCATTTGAAGTGTTAATTTAACATCAGAATCAAGACATTGTGTTTTGTTTTCATTTAGATTTCAAACTGTGTATTGGTTTAAGAATGATAGACCGAATTTATTTAATCCATTCCATTTCTAGGTAGTAACATTCCTGCATCCCAAACCTACGGTGTTTATATGTCGCAGTTGATTCTATATTCAATGGTCTGTTTTATAACAATTTTCATGCAAGAAATCGTCAACTGACGGACACATTTGTAACAAAGGGTTTCAGATGATGTAGTTTGATGAAAATCACGGGGAAAGTTTACGGTCGTCATAGTGATCTCATTGAGAAATATTCTATTTCTTTGTGTTATGTGAAGCTGGACGTGTGTGATGGTCGTTAGTTTGCATGCTGGTTCCATAACTGTACACATTGTTTTCAGTTCAGACAGTGACATTACTTACTTGGATTGACCCAGATTTACATGGCGGGTGTCGTCTATGAAGCAAAAGACGCTTACTCTTGTGCTCACCTTTTCAGAGGGCTCATTGTAAATCATTCGTTTGTTTATATTTTGCCCCTGTTTTATTGAATTTGAGTTTGGATTATGTTGATATGTTTTTTTTTTTGGTTTTTGTTTTGCTGTTTATTGAGTTGACAATAATAATATTCACTTATCATATCCTTTACAAACATTGTCCCGTAACATTCCGTTCTTGCATGATAGATATTTTCATGGCTCCTATACACTGTGGTCACCGATAACAGTTGTTTCGTACCGATATACAATACAGACAGTTTGTTTCAAACCTATTTCTGTGAATGATCTCGAGTCCAGTAGTCATAACTGTCATGTGTATTCATGTTCCTGACGTAACATTCTATGGAATAATACTTATTAGGAATAATTCCACAGGCGATCCTTGACCTGTGTGTGGGTGACATTTTTCACGTGAAATTGCACTTATTTTACATAACGCTAACGTTTTGGTATCATTCTTCAGTGAGAACAACTTCAAGAACTGGACCCATGTTGTAATGTCAGGTCAAGATATAACCAGTAAATAACTGGTCCCCATGTTGTAATGTCAGGTCAAGATATAACCATAAATAACTGGTCCCCATGTTGTAATGTCATGTAAAGATATAACCAGTAAATAACCAGTAAATAACTGGTCCCCATGTTGTAATGTCAGGTCAAGATATAACCATAAATAACTGGTCCCCATGTTGTAATAACAGGTCCCCATGTTGTAATGTCATGTCAAGATAAAACCAGTAAATAACTGGTCCCCATGTTGTAATGTCATGTAAAGATATAACCAATAAATAACTGGTCCCCATGTTGTAATGTCATGTCAAGATATAACCATAAATAACTGGTCCCCATGTTGTAATGTCATGTAAAGATATAACCAGTAAATAACTGGTCCCCATGTTGTAATGTCATGTCAAGATATAACCATAAATA